GGATGACCTTTTGTGTCGAGGAGAAACCTCCCCCCCCAGGAATTATCTCTGAGTCCCCGCATCTGGGCAAACACACCCCAAAAGCTCTAATCCTATTAGGGACCAATCCTGGGAAGGCAGGGGTTTACCTCAGCTCCCGATAGGCAGAGTTTAGCTTAGATTTTGAAAACTAAGGGAAGGGTTGATGTGGAAAAGTAAAGAATGGTACTGGCTCAAGGCGGGACAGGGAAGCATCTGTGTGTGTGCATGTGTGTGTGCACGTGTGCGTGCGTGTGTGCGCGCGCGCGTGTGTGTGTAAATGCATATAGCTTTATTGTGTTTCTGTTTTTGAACTTAGTTCATTGCTTGTGAATATAAAATTAGAAATACAAACTAATGAAATCAGTCATGGTTCTGCTTGTCAGCGGTAAACAGGGTTTCTTTTTGCAGGTTCTCTTAGACATGCATACACAACCCCACACGTAGACACACACGGGCTTTCCACACCCAGCGATGTATTGCAAAAATGCATCCGTGTTGGTAGTAAGGATTCCTTTACAGCCACTGTGTGAACACAAGATGGTTTTTATTTTAAGTAGTTCCATATGGGTGATCAAGCACGTTGTCTCTGGGATTTAGCTTGGCAGCGCAGTCATAAACTTCCCTTATACATGTTCTTTTTCCCCTTCCATTTATCTTATTATTCTCTTAGGGTGAATCACTGAGGGTAAATTTGGAATTGGTGGATCAAAAGATACCTTCCTTTATAGGGCTTTTAAGACCCAGAGAGTGGGTGTGACACATCCCTCAGCCACTTGTCCACTCTGGCTACCATGGTCTCTGTGATTTCTGCCAATCTGACTGGGTTGTTTTTTGTTTGTTTGTGTGTGCGTGTGTGTGTGTGTTTTACCAGCGAAATGTTTGTGCCAGCTGCTCCCAGAGGCCTGGTCAGCGGCTGCTATTGTCATGACCACGCCCCATATTCTGGAAGAGTCAAGACTGGGGCGTCTCGATAGTTCCCTTGTACGTTTGTGCCGCACTTTGAGGTTTAGAAAATAGTTTCATATTATCGAATTCTAAAATGAGGATGAGCCAGCCCTCTGCACTAGTTTGTTCTGAGGATCAGAAATAAATTATATGGTGCCATTGTTTGTTGAACCAAAAGCATCATGTAATTAATATAAAATTTATAGTTAAAAAAACGTAAGCCTATTTTATAGTTTTACAGAATTGTATAAGTTTGTATTTAAAATGTATGCATGCATCATATTTTATATGATTTCTGCGAGTGACATACAGTAAACTATTTAAATATCCAACCAGAGAACACTGGCTAAATGAATTATGCTCATCCTTGCAGTGGACTCTGTAGCCATGGAAACCAGCATATCACACTGGAAATGGGTTTCTAGCACATTGCTGGATGCGGGGGAAACACCTTATATATCAGTGTGTCCAGTACAGTCCCAATTTCATCAACAACTATATGGAAATAGAAAATAATCAAGTATATGCACCATGGTTAGCCGTGGTTAACTCTGTGTAGATGGGATTATGGGCATTTCAAACACTTTTTGATTGCCTTTTCTGAAATGGGCATTTTTTTTTTGTAGCAGGTTTAAAAAATAATGAAGTCACTCTGTAACCAAGTATTTAAAGAAATTGATACAGTGGTGTTCCATGAATGTTAATCACTTTCATGTAAGATTATATACTGTCAGCTGACCCTCATGGCACCTTGGGGATACTCATCATCATGGGACAGTTAGGAAACTGAGGTTTGAGCTTTAAGGCCGCTGGACAAGTCCCCCAGCCAGTGGGAGGCAGAATGGGTGGGTGCTGGAGGCAGGTCAGTCTGACCCAACGACCAAGCACCCTCTTCGCACCCCATTGACCCTACCTCACTCTCTCCCCTGCAGGTTGCAAAACTGTCCACTACGACCTGGTCTTCCTGCTGGACACCTCCTCCAGCGTAGGCAAGGGGGACTTTGAGAAGGTTCAGCAGTGGGTGGCTAACCTGGTGGACACCTTCGAGGTGGGCCCCGACCGCACCCGTGTGGGGGTCGTGCGCTACAGCGACCAGCCCACCACGGCCTTCGAGCTGGGCCACTTTGACTCCAGGGAGGCGGTCAAGGCGGCCGCAGGGACCCTGGCCTACCATGGGGGCCACACCAACACAGGCGACGCGCTGCGCTACATCACGCGCCACAGCTTCTCCCGGCGGGCCGGGGGCCGGCCTGGGGACCGCGCCTTCAAGCAGGTGGCCATCCTCCTGACCGACGGCCGCAGCCAGGACCTGGTGCTGGAGGCCGCGCAGGCCGCGCACCGCGCGGGCATCCGCATCTTCGCGGTGGGCGTGGGGCAGGCGCTGAAGGAGGAGCTGCAGGAGATCGCCTCCGAGCCCAAGTCCGCGCACGTCTTCCACGTGTCCGACTTCGACGCCATCGACAAGATCCGTGGCAAGCTGAGACGTCGGCTGTGTGAGAGTGAGTGCGCAGCGCCCGGGCGCGGGCGCGGGGCTCCGGCCGCCTGCCAAGGGGCCGTGTGGCCAGGTCAGGGGAGGCCCCAGTGCCATGCCGGGGCTTGGGGGGGCGGGTGGCCGCGGTGGCCTGAGGTCCCCATTCCCGGACTCTGTAACGTCAGAAACCCAGTTGCACCTACAGCAGCATGTGCCTGTCACCAGGGCTGTGTCCTGTCGTCCTGGACGCTTCCAGGGCTGCAGAGGAGGAAAGGAAGTCATGGAGGGCTGGGCGCGAGCCCCACCCGCCCCGCCCTGAGATACAGGAGGTTGGTTAAATGTCCCCGGGTGGCGTCTTCAGCTCTGCAGTGGGAAGACGTCCACTTCCCCACAGAGCTGTTACAGTCAGAACCAGTGCCCGGCCCCTGGGGCTCTGACCCCTGGTGGGGACGTTCTGAGGCCAGCCCCTGCCCAGGACAGGAAGGGTGAAGTGGGTTTCTGTGGGCGACTGGGGTGCTCAGGGTGGGGAACCCTAGAGAGTCCCACCTCAGGCCGGGCAGGGGAGCCCTGGGGACACGGCAGTGGAGGCGGAGGCCGGTGGTGGGAGCAGCTGGCATGACTCCTTGTCCCAGGGATGGGCCTGGCTTGCAGCCCGGTGAGAAAACAGCTAAGCTGTGCCTGAGACTGGATGCCCAGTTTCTCCACCACTGTGACCCTTTTCCTTATATTGGCTCACTTAATCTCCACGTTTTTATTCACGGACACTCATTGGGGATCTACTTTTTGTGTGGCCTTGTGCTGATTTCTGGGCCTATAGAAAAAGATAAGACACAGCCCCTGCCCTCAGGGTGTTCATAGTCTAGATGGCAAAAAATAAAAAAAGGTACTGTGGGGGTGACTTTAATTAAGGTGTCACAGAGTCTCATGGGTAGGGTCCTGCTATGGCTGTGGTGGGGGCGTGGCTCTGAGCATGAGGGAGGGCTTCCTGGAAGAGGTGGTGCTTATGGTGCAGGACAAGCCCGAGCTTCAGGATGAGGTGAAGACATGGGGTTAAGGGACAGCGTGACACAGTCGAACTATAATGGGCCCATGTGACCAGGGAAAAGGAGGGCAGTGGGGGTTGGTGGCTTTGTCAGGTTGTCAGGGTCTGCAGCCAGGAGGGCCTGGTGTGCTAAGGTGAGGCATTAGAGGCTAAGGTGATGTCGTTAGAACAAAACCAGGGTTTGCTCTAGTCAGGCTCCTCCAACCGGCTAAATGGATGTGAGATTTAAGCGGTGCTCCGTCGTCTGCAGGGAATCCTGTTTGGTAAATACAGCTGTAAGCTGACAAGAGCCTGCTCTGTTCTGGTGACAGATGATACAAAATCCTCTCACAATGGCTTCAATTAGAAACAAAGCAAAACACAATAAAATAGCTAACGGGAACCTTTTGAAAGGAGGGTAGTAAGATGGAATCAAGGAGTGTCACCCAATCTAAACCAGGAGTCCCGGGGCACCTCGGAGACCCTGTGGGTAACTCCACAGCCCGGATAGCGGCTGTTCTGAGTGGGGGCCTCTCTGGACGATGTGGAAAATCCCAGACTGACAGCGTGGGGCTTTTCTGGTGCAGTAATCACTCCAGCTTACTCCTTCACTCAACAGCCATACATTGTAGCAGTCATTGTAGTCAATCTAATCTATTCGTTCAGTCTGTAACAACCCAATCATCCATCCATCTGGTCACTCATTCATTCATTCATTCATTCATTCAACAACCGCACACTGAGTGACGCCTCTGCTGGGGGGCATGCCAGGTGCCCAGGATGCAGTGACGGATCTGACGTGACTCGTCCTTGCGAAGCTTCTGTCCACTTGGGGAAGCAGGAAGTGGCTGATAATTATTCCACAGAGCGTGTACCCTGGGGTTTTTCTGCGTTGGGCCTGGCTTCCACTCGAGAAGAGAAGTTTCAGGAGGGCAGAGGCTGTTTCTTGGTGCCCTATCACCTGGAACAGGGCGTAGTACATGGGCGGAGCTGCTCAGGTGTTGTTTAAAGAAAATGAGGGCAGTGGCCGGGCGGTTAATTCTGTGCTTGCCGTTGACATATGCTTATAGATGATGAGGTCGAGGGTCTCCCTCCTCCCAGATCCACAGAACAAGAATATTCAGCCAATCTGGCATGGCAGCCAACAACAACCGAAGTGTTTAACTCATGCACTGTGTTGGCGCACAGAGGCCAACGGTTAGGTTTTGAGGGTCGGTGAAGGTCTAGACAAGGCAGGCTGGGTGGGCTAGGCGGACACATGCCAGAGACACCGTGCCGCTTCCTAGAGGGGGACAAATGCAGAGGGGGACCCCGACCAGACTCTACTGGGAGCGGGTAGAACTGAGGGTCAGCACTGACCGAGCACCACACGCTGACAGCACTTTGCATCACACCCCAACCTGCCCTGCGAGGTGGGTGTCGACGTGGCCATTTGCACCTGGGCTGGCTCTCACATGTGGCCACTGGCCAGTCGGGGACTGGTCAGTGGCCCCAACATGTGTCTGCAAGTCACATGTACACAGATATTTGTAGATTTAGTATGAGAGAGTGAAGAGTGTCATGAATATTTTTATATTGGTTACATAGGTACATGATAATGTTTTGGAAATGTAGGTTCAGTACGATAGATTTGTAAAATTAATCTCACTTGGTTCCTTTTACTTTTTATGTGGCTACTAGACAATCTAACATCACGCATGAGGCCCACGTCTGAGGGTTTCCTCCCCCTCTTTCTCCCCCTGTCTCTTTCTCCGTCTATTCTTCTCCGATGCTAATGCTGGTGATGAGGTCCTGTTGATTCCCGAGCCCAGGCCTCCCATCCAGCTTGGCCACAGCAGGGAGCAGTGGCAGCTGTGTGGGCCAGCAGGCGCCCGGGCTGTCCCTTATAGGGGGAGTTGGTCCCAGGTCAGGGCACAGGAAGCGAGGGGCTGGCGTCTGGGCTGGGTGCAGCAGCCCTGGCCCCCAGGCAGCCCAGGCTGGGGTCTGTGAGCAGTGGCTGCTCCGCTCTGGGAGCCCCCCTGAGAGTGACCGTGTGAGCAGGACAGAGGGAGGCGTGGAAACGGGACTAGGCCTGGGATTCGGCAGAACTTTTTCTGGGTGGCTGCTACAGAAGTCTCTCTCTGTCCAGCTGCCCCTGAGCCCCCTGTAGACCTGCCCCGTCCTGCTTCTCAGGACCTCAGGGTGCCTCCATTCAACACTGTGTGAGCGCTTTGTTAGAATCCCAGCGGCCACGGAGTCACAGGTGCAAATAGCATAACTTAGTCCCGCTCGATTACTTTCTAGCACATTCTGGCTTACCCTGCGCTTACACCCGTTATCAGAGCTAATACGTGCTACGCCCTGGATTGGAGGTTGCACTCTGATTACTAATGACTTATCAGTGAGGTGACTGTGATTAGAGCTGCTCCCCCAGGTGGCCCAGCTGGCGAGGCGCAGAACTGTGTGACATCCCCTGTTCTGTTTAACCCAGGTCCTGGGTGTCTGTCAGGAAGTGACAATATTTAGGAGGCGCCTTTACCTCCACGGTGTCACTGCAGTCTCACCACGATCCCCTAAGTAAGTTCTCCCCGTTCTGTCATTGATGGTGCTGGGGACAGTGGGGCGAACTGGCTTATCCAGGCTCCCGGGGCTCCAGGGCCAGCACCCACCACCTGAGAAGGTGAGTCCTGTCCAGCTGCGCTTCTACAGTCCTAGCGGCTATGTAGTCACTGGGCCCTAGCACAGCCTGCCTTGTGCACGGTGACCAGTGGCTGTTGGTTGAATGAATAAAACTCACAGTGCTTGAAGTCATTATCCCCGCGTTATTATATCAATGAAAACATATCTGCAAGCCTATGAGTGGAGTAAAATCAGCAGCAGGAACAGCTAGAGTTATTAGAGACGGATCTCCGGCGTGACCCCCTCCTGGGCCTCCCCCGTGGTCGGCTCTGGTGCCCGACTCACTGGCCCCCTTGGCCTGGGGCTCATCCGGGAAAGCACCTCCGTGTCGTGGCATCACCGCCCGCCTCTCTGTGGCCTGACAAGGTTCCCAGGGGACTCAATCTCAGCCTGGCTTTCCTGCAGCGCGTGGGGCGGAGGCTGCGGACGGGGCCAACCCCAGAGCATCGGCTGTAATTAAGAGCTTTCTCCACCCCGGGCTCTGTCGTGGCCACAGAACAACCTTTATATAGCTTATCGGGTCACCGTAAGTGAGCCTGTGGAATGCCAGCCACCGCCGCCGAGGGGGCCTCCACCTACTTCTATTTTGGGGACACTATGAGGGTCCTCTCTCCCCCCTCCCACGGGCAGGGGACATTTCCTGGATCCTGTCCTTTAGGTCGTGGACAAGGGGGCTGAGATGTTGGTGTGGATCCCGGCCAGGAAGGGGCCTCCGCCGTGCTTCTACGGTGCAACGTCACAGGGCACACGGTCGCCCTCTGTGTCTCTTTCTCTTGTTGATGTGGTCACAACTAGCTCCATTACTGTCCCAGTGAGAGCTTTGATTACTGGATATTATACCTACCACTATGACAGGAGGAGAGAGGGAGGGGGAGGTTAATTCATTGCTCTCCTAGAGTTCTCACTGGAAAATGTCAGCATCTACATGCATTTGGCTTAGTGTGTGGCTCTGCATGTGCTCAGCCCCTGCGGGTCTCAGCTCCCTGTAGGCGGGTTAGCACCTCCTCAGACTCAGCTGTGAGGATAACGTGAGGTTAGCCCGGGGTGGGCACTGACAGCCTCTCCCTTGCTCTGTACTGTGGCCGTGGACAGGCCACTCCACCTTCCAAGGGGTGGGGGACTGTTAGGTTCACTTGAAAATTTGTTTTGTACTTTTTGTCGTGCAAAGCATTTTCAGTAAATAACAGAAATCATTTGTGTCATTGGGAATGGACCGGATAGGCCCTATAGATACCATGTCACAGCAGTGGGTGTTTTAAGGACCCTTTACTGTTGGGTCATTTTTGCCACCATGTATCTATCGACCCCGTTCTCTCCTGGACATTGTGCTGTGGCATGGGGATCGCATT